CCTCATGGCCAACAAAATACCTGGACAGGCCTAAGATGTAGCTTTGGCATCTCGCGTAGTCTATGGGTTTCTCTAAAGTGCTGAGGGTATTTGGAAGACACGAAGTGGCTGCTCACTTTTGGGAAATGAACTAAAGTAGAGTGTTTGCAACACAGTAGAGAAAAACTCGATGAATTATCTAACTGAGAAGATGTGACTTTTACGAGGTCGCGTGTGTGTAGAACGAAGAGTAATCAAGAGAAATAAGTATTCCCAACTTGCAAAACAATTACTTCACGTACATGACATTCATTCTCATCTCTTTACTTTAATATCTCTGCAGTTATCAGTACGTTGACAAGGATCAAACAGCTTTGCAGTAGAAACATGATTAGTAAATAGAGCTAACTGGAAGCTGGGAATAAAATCCCTTCTACTTGTCACACTTTCTTGTCATCTTAAAAGAAGCGCATAGCGCCGTTAATCAAAATAACTAGAAAAGGATGTAAGTCTCACTACTTATTTCATGAGCGAAGATGAAAAGACGTTGAAGTGAAGGTAGTGGAGTTTGCGCAGCAATGGCAGCAATGAGGCCGCGCTCACTTCTAACACTCTGATAACACAGCTGACACCGCGCAGTGAAAAGCTGCTAATGATATGTCTATTGATTAGGGAAGAGTGATAAAACCAGGGTTTTCACGCCAAAATTACGATGTAACGCCCCCAACTTTTACGGTTCTCACTATTTAGTTTCGTTGCGCAACTAAACTAACTTTGAAATTATTCCTGCGCTCTCATAATGCGAGTTGTAGAGGAACTTAGTATTATTTTTGACTTTTGTTTCGTGTTAAATCGCGCTATCTTCGCTGCTATAAATCTCAAAACAAGAAACTTAGAGGGTTAGATCTATTTTTTTTTAAATTGAAGGTGAGTCCGTAACTTTTCCTGCCAATATAGGATACCTAGTTGATCTTAGCAATAATGTAATCTATCCTATCGGCCATTCTGAATGCTGAATGTGCCAAATCAGTGTTTCTGGTTCTATGACTGAGACT